TGCAAAGCTGGGGTGGGGGGCGGGCACATTACTCAGGAAGGGGGGCAGAGGGGTACGTGACGTGGGTGCGGCAGCACTTGGAGTGGGAGCTCTGCCCTGCTGCTGCTTGCCCAGCTGGGCTATAGGGGCAGGATGTGGGCAGGACTTGCTCCCAGAGGAAGACAAGCAGCAGCAGAGCGTAGCCCTCGCTCCCAGCGCTGCCGCACCCGCATCCCACACCATTCCGTGCCAGCTGGCAAGCAGTGGCAGGGCCGAGTCCCTACTCCCAGCGCTGCTACGGTGCAGCAGCGCTGGGAGTGGGCTACGCCCTGCTGCCACCCACAGCAAGCCATGCCTGCACTGCACCTTCCCCCCTGCACCAGCTGGGCAAGCAGCAGCAGGGCATAGGCCCTACTCACCAGCACTACCGTGCCTGCATCCCATGCCTGTCTGTGCTGGCCGGTAAGCAGTGGTAGCGCCTGCCATTTTGCACCGGCTGACAAGCAGCAGCAGGGCAGAGTCCCCACTCCTGACGCTGACGTGGGCATGGCTTGCTCTGGGCAGCAGCAGAGCATAGCCCTTGCTTCCAGCACTGCTGCTCCCGCATCAGTGCTGGGAATGGGGGCTTTGCCCTGCTGCCTCTTGCCAGCTGGAATGGGGGCGGGGGCACTGTCGCCATTTGCCAGCCAGCACAGGCCAGCACAGAATGCGGGCACAGCAGTGTTGCGAGTGAGGGCTATGCCCTGCTGTCACTTGCCCCCTTACGCCTGGAGCATGTTGTAACTGCATCCCGCCCACCCCCGCTGGGGAAATTACTATATGTAGCTAAGAACTTAAAATGTATTCATCCCATGCTTTCAGAATATGTACACTCAGGCACAAACATTTTCTTAGACCATTGTCCAATAAACTGAATACTTCCAAAACCACCTAATTTCCTTCCAAAAGAGGGAAAAAAACCCTCTCCAATTTGGATTAAAATTTTGACTGTGGTCATAAAAAAAGCAAGTTTGATACTCTTAGGCTAAATACATTTATATCGACTTTGGTGCCAAACTGGTTTTATGATACTTACAAAGGAAAGGTTTTGCAGGCTAAGACTAGGCTAACCAGGGATGCTCAATTCCTGGGCCAGATCCAGCCCGAGGGGCTCTCTAAGGGTCCAGAAACTTGGAAGGAGGAAGGAGAAGCAGCAGTAGCAATTAATGCTGCTACTGCTCCCCCACTGCCAAAATTTCAAAGCTCTGAAAGCCAGATAACCTGACCCTGAGCAAGGGATCCTACTGGAATGTGAGGAGCCAGGGACAGGGTTGGAACAGTGGGGCCCAATCCAGCATGTGTGGAGCTGGGGCTGTGAACATTATATGGCGTGTGGCATAGAGGCCCAATACAGCATGTGCTAGATCTAACTCTCAGACCCTCCCTGTACCATAATCTGACTCTCAGAGCCAAAAGGCTGGGCATCATGGGGTTAAGCTAAACAGAGTT